AAGCTGCGGTTCCACTACTGAGGAAAAGAGATACTGGACCGAGCTGGGACCGGACTGGAAGACGCACAGCACCTCAAAAGGCACCAGGAGCAGCCCTCTCTCCGTACATCCCATATACCAAACCACAGAGTAAAGCAGCTGCTCTCTTCGATATTCAGTCTCTGTTTGAAGAGGATGTCATCGCTGAACTGTGCTCCAGGCTGGAAGCTTTTCCCCGCAGTGACAGGGCAGAGGGGCTGGCCTCTTTACTTGGAGCATGTGTTGAGTTTGGCCTGGAAGCCCACAGCCCTCCAGTCCTCACACTGATGAATGAGTGCCTGGAGCTGCTCTCCAACAGGGACATCGGGGTGGCACAACTCTGCCGCCTGGGTGAGGTGGTGTGCACCCTGGAAGGCCGCCGGTCACGCGTGCTGACAGAGGTGTTGGACTGTGTGTGCGCTTCTGTGGAGGAGGATGTCGTCTCTCCCAGTGAGGCTGTCATGGTCTACTCCCTGCTGACGCGGTTTTGTGAGCCTGCCAGCCAGCAGCAGACCCGAATCCTGTCTGCTTTGCACACAGACACACGAAGGCTGGTCCACCGGCTGAAAGCCGGTCAAGTCAGTGATATTCTGCAGTCCTTGTTGAAGTTACAGCAGACACAGGTAGACACAGCAGCAGCATCGTCCTTGATTGTCTTTGATTCGTGATGACAAACCAGCTGTCACTTAACCATCCACAAATTTTAATCTCTGTCATTTAGGAACAACAATAATAATAATAATATTTAATGCTTTTACACGAAGTGATGTGAGAACATATAATACTTGTTTCACAGGCTGTTTCCCTGGTGCTGAGGCTGAGTCACAGGGCATCGCGGGTCTTTAAAGCTTTTCGTGATGATGAAATCATGAAGGTACTCACTGCTTTAATGACTCTGGAACAGCATGATGGAGAGCTCGTGGCGGCTATGGAGAAACACTTGCCAGGTGTGTTTTTTATAGTTTTATTATACACTTAAGTCAGTGCGTCTGTGACTGTTCTGATCAGATTTCACTATTTGTGTATTAAAAAATAAAAGACCAGAAAATAAGTTTTCATTCTGTCTCAGGGAGGCTGGAGAAGTGCGATCCAGAGCTGATCGGTGCCATCGTGGAGTATTGTGTGCAGATGAGGTGCCGTTCTGAGCCACTCTTTGAGGCTGTGGCTGAAAACTTTGTACGCCACGCTGAGAACCACACCACCCTTCAGATAGCCAAACAAATTGTTGCGATGGGGAGGCTCAACTACCTGCCACAGGTGAAGGTTTTCTCATATTCTCAGAGTTTATAAACAGATCCTATGTTTTGCATATATATTACAAATCTGCTGTAATGTGTCACTGCTCTGTTCCTCATCAGTGCTCCAGCCAGATGTTTAAGAAGCTGGAGAGCATCTTGTCAGAGAGGTTTTCACAGTTCCAGCCTCGCTCGCTGGTTGACGTGATGCACGCCTGCATCCACCTGGAACGCTTCCCTCTCAACTACATGACCAAAGTATTCAGCCCACACTTTCTACAGAAGCTGCAAGGTACGTGCCGGGCTTTTATTTCAGACTGTGAAAAGCAGGAGGAGAGGAAAAAGTCTGTCACTGTTCATTTTTGGGTGTTCCCATATTTCCTGTCTGAGAGGGATGATGGCTGTTATTTGCTGCTTAAACACTCTGGCTGAGAAACACTCTTCTGTTTCCTTAATCTAACATTTTCACTTGTTGCTGTCACTTTATTTTAGTGCAGAAGTATCTGTTAGGTGTCAGCTATGGTAAATGGTCTGTATTTGTATAGCGCTTTACTTGGTCCTAAGGACCCCAAAGCTATACACAATCATCCACCCATTCACACACTGGTGATGGCAAGCTACAGTGTAGCGCACTGACAGAGGCGAGGCTGCCGGACACTGGCGCCACCAGTAGGCGGTAGGTGAAGTGTCTGTTAGGTTCATTCTAAATAGGCTGTAGGTGTAAATGGTTAATGCACGCTGGGATAGGCTCCAGCCCAGCTTTGAATCAGACAAGTGGAAGAAAATGGATGGATCTTAGTTTCTCTGCTAGCTGTCAAAAAATAGAAAACAACTTCTTTACAGTACAAGAATATATTGCACATATAACTGCATGGACTTTGTATTTACCCACAAGGCTACGCGGTGTCTCTGATGTAAGCTCTCCATGTCCTGCAGCACAGGGGGAGCCACTGGACAAAAACACACTGGGGCAGCTGACACAGCTCCACCTCTCCACCATGTTAGAGTGCACATACTACTGGGTAAGAATCTGTGAACAGGGTTATAATTTTTCATACTGTCAACATGAGTTCTGACTGTCAGAGGTGAATTATAACCACAACGCTCTCATTTAACTCGAAAACAAAAAGAAGGCGTTGGCTCCTCGATAACAGGAGTGATTCGTCTTTACTGCTCTCCTCGCCAGGGTCCCAGACTGCCCTTCTTTCTTCACGTGAAGAGGTTTTCCTCAGCAGGCCAGGCCTTTGAGACACCAATGGAACGTCTTTTATACAGACAGGTCAAAGGTCCTCTAGCACAGCTGCTGGGGGGCACATTTTACTCCACCAGAATGATTCATGGTGGATACACTATAGGTAAGCTACAACAGGACACGTGACACATCATCACAGTACCTGCAGCTCAGGTATTTGACTTTCATGCTTATTACACGCTCACTGGACATTTTGTTAGGTGCAGTCTGGGTTGGCCCCCTCGTGCTGGAAAGTTTCCTCAGAGATTTTGGTCACCATGTGAGCACCACACAGCTGCTGAACATTTAGCTGCACGTCCTTGATGCCAATCTGCCAATCTGTCACATCCCAAAGGCTCTCTGTGAGACTGGAGGCCTTTTTAGTAAAGTGAACTCATCATCGTGTCTGAGATGATTTGAGCTTTGTATCCTGTGTCCTGCTGGAAGCAGCCATGAGGAGATAGTACACTGTGGTCATAAATGGATGGACAAGGTCAGCAACAATGCTCGGCTAAGCTGTGGCATTTAAACGATGTTCAGTTGGTACTTAAACACACCCCACACCACTACACCGCCACCAGCAGGCTGAACAGTTGATAAAAGGCAGGACGGATCTATGCTTTCATGTTCTTTACTCAAATTTCTGGATGTTGTAGCAGAAACTCAACAAACTCAGCCCTGTGTTTCTCACAGGAGAGGCCCTCAGTCTGGCCTCCTGGTGCTGAAGCCCATCAGCTTCCAGGTTTCACAGAGATGCTCACCTTGGTTGGAATGAGTGGTTATTTGAGTTAGTTATGCCTTCCTGTAAACCAGGAGCAGTCGTGTTATTCTCCTCTGATATCAATAAAACATATTTACGCAGAGACCTGCTCCGCCCTCCTTTATTTCAAACCTCCCTCTGTAAACACTAGAGATGAGAAAATGTATAATAGAAAATACTCAGAGCAGCAACATAACACCTCCAAAGCTCCTTGGCTCACCTTTCTTTCTCGTTCTGATGCTCAGTTTGAACTTCAGCAGTTGTCTGTAAGCCTGAAAGCACTGAGGTGCTACCATGTGATTGGCTGATTAGATATGTGAGATAAGAGCTGTAGTCCGTGAGTGTATTACCTGCGTGCTGGGATAGATCGTGTTGTGACGAGAAGTTCGTTTTTTCCATTTCTTCCTTTTTGTTAAGATGTGGAGATTTGCCTGGATGAGAGTGGATTTGTTCTGCCTCCGTCTCAGTGGGATCACGCTTACAAGAGGTAAGAACTGATCTGGCTCTGAGCGTTTCAACAAATTTCCAATAAATTGTAAGAAAATGTGCCTCCAACCTGTGAGGCTTAAACATGCTTTAGATTTTGAATCAGCTGAAAATGTGAAGCCCTGTTTTGTTTAAAACGACAATTAAGTGAGTAATTAAGCTTTTCTTCATGTGTTGTGCGCATGTAGAGTTGTGTTGTGTTTGGATGATCCAAACCGTTTCTGCACCAACACACGACACCTGCTGGGGAAGGAAGTCACAAAGAGACGACACCTGCAGAGGATGGGCGTGGAGCTGGTGGAGGTAAGTGGGGAAAAACCCCAGAAGATACTCGTGAAACTGAACGGTTGCAACCGGACAGAAAATGTAAGAGTTTTGTTTTGTGGTTAAAGTTTCTTCTTTGTAAACTGAGAGGACCAACTTAAACTTAATGCTATTGTTGCTCATTGAAATGAACTGTTAAATTCTCTTTTTGGCATGTTAACATCATATCTTTAAAGTTTTATATTTATTGTGTTGGTCAAAAATGTCAAAGCTGATCTGTATTTCTTTTCTTCCTCGTCTCGTCGCTCTAACAGATTCCTTACTTTGAGTTTGAGAAACTGCAAACTGAAGAGGAACAGATCCAGTATCTTCACGACAAGATCTTTCCTGCTGTATCCAAGTTTAACAATCAAGCAGCGAACCAGTTTAACCAAAAATCCACAGTGAGACAAACCAGCTTGTAATGTGCTCGGGGTACCAACGATACCAAGAGGCCAAAACCTCAGGATCGTGAACACAACAGCTGAATTTGCTGGCAGTCTGTTTGCAAGGATGGACAGACTGACGGGGAGTAATCTGTAATCTGTTACTCTCATACATCCGGACACGGTGTCAGAATGTTGGATTAGAGGATTTATTCCAAAAATGTTTCTTTACTGTTCTCATATAACAAACTTTTACCTTAAATTATACACATCCCTTCCATTAAAAGATTTTCTCAAACATTGTTAGAACCTATAAGTAATATTTGAGATGCTGTGGAGCGTCTGCTGCCAGCTGGGGTAGGGTAATAATTCCCTTTATTGCCAGCTTTTCTTGGTAATATGTATATTTAAAGCTATTTTCTATTCTGCTATTAATTTATTGTTGAAAATTATATTTTCTATTTATGTGAGTAATAGTAAGAGAAATATTAAATGGCGCTCGGTACGGCTCTAACCTTCGTCCTTAGCTTCTGTGTGTTATTTTGACTTTTTATAGGGAAGAACAAGAATGCCTCACAGACTGAAGATGATCGAGATTTCAGAATAAAATTCACACGAGATGTAAATAATACACAACTGTTGACGACACATGTAGTTGTTCAGCATCTTATTCGTGTCAGAGGTGAGTTTTCTCCTCCCCGGTCGGGGGTTTGGGCGTCCTCCTCCTAATGGAGCAAACAATGCGTCAAATAATTAGAGTCCATTTCTGACTCGTGCAACAAACTAAAGAAAGAGGAAACGCTGCGAAGGCTAATGTGAGTGTGTCTGTACTCGCCTGGTACTAACAGGTGGCAGGATATTAGAGCGGGGGCACGCCGTGAGGACGAGCTCTCCTCTGACAGCTTCCATCATCAGGTTCTGGAGGGTGTTCATCAAAACAAGTTCACTCATGAAAGCAGACACATGTTCGCGTGTGTGGGGCGTGTTTCCTGAGCTCCCTGCACTCTCCTCGCTGCCCACTGCCCTGCTCAGAGCCCAAGTCTGCGGCCTGGCGGGGGGAGAAGAGCTGGGACACAAACACTGACAGGAGGAGGATGGAAACGATGATCTGTCGGGAGAGGACGATCCCGCGGGCCGGTAGGTGTCGGGCTTGGAGGCCGAAGAAATCAGACGCTGGATGAAGGCGGAGTCATCGAGTATGTCGCTGAAATACGAAGAACATGCATGATTGATTTTCAGTGTCATCTTAAATATCACCGATCTATAAATTAGAATAAATGCATAAGACAGGCTGTCTACTCTACACGTGGGCGGTACCGTAGCAGACAGCTGAGTATGTGGAAGAGGATCTCTTTGTCGGGGCTGTGTGCTGGAGCAGGAAGCCCAGTAGAGACGGTGGGTTCAGGATGATGCATCTGAACTGACTGAAGGCTTCTAATAACAGCAGGAGAAATGACATGTCATCGCTCCAGCATCTACAGTTAAGCTCAGGGATGAAGGACTGAACATATTCTGTATCTGATTTACCTATAATGCTTATTAAAGTAATCAGGACAGTTCTTTAGGTACTCTATAAGGTCATGGGAGTGTGCTGTGACCCTGAGATACAGCAGAGCAGGTCTGGGGGGGTCGGGGCGCCTCCATACTTTTGCTATCTGTCGCTGTGCCTGCAGCTCGGCCGTTCTTAGCTTGGTGCCTGCACTGGCTGCTTCATACACACCACTGGCACAGATGGGAGGAAGGGTCTAGAGTGGAAAGAGAACGTGAAGTCAGAATAAAAGCTTCATGTTCTTTTATAGTCTCGTAATTATTTTAATAATAAAATCACAGAGACCACCTTATATTTTCTGAGTGGCGGACCTTTTCTTACAGGAACTGTCTGTGACGAGACAAGGAGTGAAATACTTTTGATTTCTACATGATTTTAAAAAAATGTAATAATTTGTCTTTGAAGTCAGACCTCGTCGATCAGAACTCTTTGGCTCTCTGTGATGTTTTTGTCCGTGATTATAAATTCGTTTTTTTGTCTTTCTCTTTCTTCTTCCCAGCGCTGCAAAGCATCGTTATACCGAGTACGTTCAGCTTCCAGAGTAACCTAGAGAAGAGAGGAAAAGGACGCAACAATTCAAGGAAATGATAAAAATAATAACAAAAAACTTGATTTATGACACAAGACAGAAGATGAACAAGGATAAAATGTTTTAAAACATTTCTTTTAGGTAAAACTGAGCTGCATAAAACAAGACTGGATGTCTGAAGTGAGATGTTTAATCCTGCTGAGGTGCTTTCAGAAAGGACCCTGAGGTTTTTACCATATTAACTTTACAGACAGGAGTTCTGCTGTTGTCCTTATTTTAGCTGCAGTAAGTTCTATTCCATCCAGCATCAAAGCAGGCAAAGCTTTGAGTTTACGAATGTCAGTGGGGTTAAAAGAAAATAGAGCTGCATGTCGTCTGCATAACGTGCCTGCAGGTGACACGTGGCAGGGGTAACATGTATAAAGGAAGGAGGAGAGGTCAAAGCACAGAACCCTGAGAAGATGCATCTAACCCTGCGTGGGTAAGGTGGCCTGTGACCTTCCTAGGGCAGCAGTAAGCATTGGTGCAAACAACGATAATGCACCACACCACGCTGCAGTTTCTGCACAGAAATGGTTTGTGGAACATGACTCAGACCTCATTGTACTGACTCAGTGGTGTGAACTGGGCCTTTATGCCACCTGTAACAAAACCTAAACTTTACGATGATGCGTCTGTGTTACCTGACAGACGACATCCAGCTGATGAACTGTGGGGTAATCAGTAGAAGTGAAGGTGAGGACACAAAGGGCACACTCCCCCGGACGAAGACGACCTCGGTCTGGGTGGATCTGCACAACCTGACACAGCACATCAACATGAGAAAGAGAATAAAATAATGGCTTGTACAACAATGAATACAAGCCGTGTTTGTGTGATCCGTGACAGTCAAACAGAGCCACACAAAGAGGGCGGATCTATGTTTTTTTTGGCTACCTTTGCACCTTCCTCTTCCTGCTGGTTGGTGTGTTGGGGCAGGTCCCACTCATAGTGGGCGGTGTCTGCGGAAGACACGTTGGTGAGGAAGAAGATTCTCGAAGACTGTGAGCACACAGGGATGTCACCTAGGAAGATGCTGTCCTCAGACAGCAACAACACCTGCATAAAGCAAACATGTTAGAATTCAATGAAAATAATATTTGAATGATACACAAAAAAGATTAAAATGAACGTAGTCTCACCTGTCCCGGGAAGGGCACCCTCGTAACACTGGGTACAATAGCTTCACAGTCACTGCTGTTACAGTGGTTTGAGGAGTCTTGTGTAAGGCTGCTAAGCCCACGTCCCTCAAACCTCACGACCGCTGAGTCACTACCTCCGATGTGGATAGGAACATCTACCTGGGGATACAGAAACGACAGAGTGTGTTTATCGTCACTGATCTGTTATCTTTCTAATTCCTCTTGATTTCTAAATGATTATTACCTAAATGATAACAATGCCAGCTGGTGAAGTACAAAACACAATTCAAACCCAGTTCCAAAAAAGGTAAAATCTCATAAACTCTAAATAAATAAATACATACATACATGTATATATGCAAACCAATTCATTCTGCTTTTATTTACATTTTTAACCTCCTAGGACCTGCCGTCCACATACGTGGACATCACATTTTGGGTTATTTAGACCAAAATACTCAATTCTGCTCTACAAGGGCCTGATATCCACTTACGAGGACATTATACTGCTATTGTTCTATCAAAGTTTTAAACGAATATCCTCATATGTGGCTCTGATTTTTCATAAAAACAAAAATAAGGTAAAAAAAATCTGGTAATTCTTTGTTTTTACATTCATCGGGCCCCAATCAGCCCAAATGTCAAAGAGAAATTAAAAATGCTGCCGTGGAAGAGTTCAGGTCTTAGGAGGTTAAACAGCATCCCAACTTCTCTGGAATCAGGTTGTGTAAATATCCTGACGACAGGGAAAGTTGTGCAGAGTATGATGTCGTACGTGATACGTCTTCGCCTCCAACGGTGAGAAGATCCATTCCAGCTTTGCAGTTTTCCCTGGAGGAATTTCTCCTTGTGGATTGAGGCAGCGCAGCACTGGATGGTCAAAGTTGTCAGTTTGAAGCTGTGACAACACAGCTGCATCCACTTCATAGCACACTGGCACTGCCCCACCATTGTGTAATTCATACACCTGCGTGGTAAACAAACAATCACAAATCTTTTCGTTCCAAGCGTTGGGCTGTAAACATCCTCTCGCTGCACACACTTGCAGAGACACACCTGCTTTGGAGGACTGCAGTCTCCAATAGTTACGGAGGTGAAGGAGTGTTGGTGGGAGTCAAAGTGGAGATGTGGCTGATCCCTCTCCACCGTCGCACACTGAAAGTTCAGCTGCACACAGAATACATGAAATGGACACAAAGACAATGAAAACAATCAAATGCAGCAAATGTGCTGATGTTAAAAGAAAGTACATCATCCCTTAAAATGTGAACTGTCACATGAATAAGTTAAAATTGTTTCTTACAGAATGCCGAGTGCTTGCTCGTAGCAGGTTGTTTGATTGTTGGGTTTTCTCCGTATAACTGTGGGGTCTTTATTTTTCAAAATAAAGTGCCATGAAGCGACTGCTGTTGCAATTTGGTGCTATATAAATAAAACTGGATTCTTTGACTTCATAAATATCTGTTTGTCATGCCCCTCATTCACTAATCTGACATAGCATCACAAAAAAAGGTCAAAAATGTAAAAGGAGCACAAAGCTAGTTTACCTTTGACACTAGCAAAACTGTCAGGTGACTTATTTTTACTGCACTGTCAGACCTGCGTAAATATAAAGTTTTTAAAAGCCTCACCAAGATTTCTCTGCCATATGAGAGCTTGAACACAACAGGAAAGTGATCCGTCCCAACAAAGACGTGACTGTGAACAACAACGTTTTGAATGTTTTGGTATCAGTTTATTAGTTCATTGGTTAATAAATTAATTTGCTTCAGATTTTAGTCGGTGTGTAATGATTATGGGACATGTGCAGTCATGATCTCTGACCTGTAGCTGAAGTGTACTGCCCTCTTCTGGCCTGGGAGCAAAGTTCCAGCGCGAGGTGAAACACTGAACAATTGGTTGTCCTGAACCTGTGAAAAACATGAAACATTACTTTTGTTTTTATCTCTGTCTTATCATAATATTGATATTTTTTCTTGCAAAATGGAATAAACAAAAGATACAAAAAGTAAGACCTTCATTTGGGACAGCTCTGTGTTACTGAACTCTCCCGTCACTGCCCAGTACTCCAACTCTATCTGTTGATCCTCCGGAAACAAGAAGGCCCTAATATCAAAGAAGAAGACAACTATCAGTAGATGGTAGAATTTACCTTCAAACCATCACATACGCTCTACTTTCAACAACAAAAATGAAAAATGACAGGGTGCATAGAGCAGACTGGTCTGTAATAATAGTATACTTTATGGCATGATATTTACATACCAGTGTACAGGAATACACCCAGGGTTGTGAAGCATCAACATAAAGTCTGAAGGATCTGAATCAACAGGAGCCGAACCAAAGTTGAAATCCAGCATGGTTTTGGTGAAGATGGAAGGACTTGTGTGCAGGCTAGAGACAGATGGAGACAACAGGGTGGTGCGCACCACACCCAGACACTGCAGGTTTAAAATGACTGTTTGTTGTTCAGGAAATACAAACTGTTCTACAACAAATACAAAATAATTCAAATACAAAAAATTACCATAAATACCAAAACACTTTAATTATTCCAGGGTTACGTTTCTGTTTTGCTTAGCTTTTTTGCTTGTTTCAGACGCTGACCTGTGCCTGGTGGGAGTCTGAAAGGTCAGTTCTTCAGAGGACGGGTTGGACAGCAGCTGGTTGTTGAGACAGTCCAGTGAGAAGAGTTTCCATATGTGTGTCTTGCTGAGTCTACCCACACAGCCACAGCTCCACGCATCCATCGCCTGCAGGGTGGGAAACACACCCCTAGCTCGCACTTCACAAAGCGCTTGGGGAGATGACATCACACATCCTGGAGAGAGACAGCCAGGGAGAGCAGGGTAAAACAGGCAGTGTTGCTTAATAATGACTTGGAGTTAAATTGCAGTAAACATTTAAGCGTATGGAGTGTGTATGTTTTCTACCACTGGTATTCAGAGTTGTATATGTGATGGTCCAGAGGTACTCGGCTTGCCTGTTCGGTCTGATTGTGGATCGGACCACCATGGTGGAGTGAGAGGCAACAGTTCCCCTCTCCAAGTCCAGCTGTAGGGCTAAAAGGACACAGATTCAGTCTCACTAGTAGAATCAAAAAGTACAGAGTGCAGATGAACGTATACGTGTATCACAAAACGAGATACCACTTGGCTGAGCTGCAGAGTCAGAGTGATGTTCATCATCCAGAAGTATCTGCTGCACAGAGAGGCCGAAGGAGACTGGACAGGGGCTCTTGTTTACTACAGGAATCTCAACAGTTCGACAGCTTCCAACCAAAGTCTCTCCCACATCAAGGATGGATTTCTCTGCCTGGGAAGGAAGGCACCTCTAAAGATCTGCTGCTGTTCCAAAGCTACAGGAAATGATTGCTTGAATTTTCTTGCAATATTTGTCTACGGTTATGACTGACTCACAAAAAACAAAAACAAGCATGTGTACATATTGAAATCACTCAAACACATGAATAGTTCCACCTCTATCCAGCCCCTGGATCCCACTCCCTCCACTACAAGGGTGAGGTGTGACTTGATGGATCCATGTGACTGGACAGGCCAGTAGGTTAGAGTAGGTTCTAGTGTGTATGCGTTCTCTGCCAGCGGACTGAAGGTCCACGTCTGCATCTGTAGTAAAAATAAACAAATTAAACAGCTTTTTTTAAGTGAGTTCCACAGTTACTGTCTACATAAATGTGCAGTGTGCACTCCTCTCTCAGTCTCTCACACAGCACTCATTGGGATGCAGTTCACCAGCATCTGGTTTGACAGAGATAAGCTCCTGGTCTGGCTCTGGAATGCTCCACTGGAATCTATCATGAAAGGAAATCAGAGAAAGCCAGCTGTAGACAAGATGAATGATCCTGAGGTAAGTCCAGACTACAAACAATACACTGAAAAATGTCGGAAAACACGACCAGAATAAGAGCGCAGAAACAAATCAGGCAGCCGACCTCACTGGCAACAGGCTTCGGTTCCTGATGTGATGGGTGCGCTGGGCCTGCGAGCCCACTGCTGTTGGCTGGAAATATAAAGTGCTGCCTCCTTCCAGAGACACACACAGCTTTGCCACCACACTGACAACTGTCAGTTCCTGAAGAAGAAAGAGACATTAACAGACAGTAAAATAAAAATAACGTAAAAACGTGAGTGACTGTTGACTGACGGGTCTCGTGCAGGGCCGCACCTTTGTGAGTTTAGATGCATTGAGCTGCAGGTGTAATTTAAACCCCTGGTCAGAGCTATCCTCTGCTGGCACTGCTCTGAGGGACAGGATCTGGTGATCTCCTGGCTGGATCAAACCGCAGCTTGGAACTACAAACGCCGATTCTGCCAGGGCAGGGTTTGAGCTGCGCTCCAAACAGAAAGTGAGCGGCCAGTCTCCAACATTGTGAAGCAGGACTGTCCGATAGGAAATGACACTGAGGGCTGGAAACACCTAGTAGAACAAAATCATTCAGCAAGCTCCAGATGTTGTTTCTAAGAAGGAATATTTCATTTATTATCTTAAAGATTTTCCTCATGAGTTGGGATTTGAAGAAAGTGCATCTTTTTTGTTCTTACCACGTGAGGGGGATTTACGGAGCAGCGTGGAGTGAAGTGTTCTTTGCCTGGCTGAAAGGAGTGGCCAATGACTCTGATGGTCACACACCAAGGCGGACACACACCTGTGTCTGGACTGTGCTGCACAGTCCAAAGACGCATGATTGACAGCATAGGTTTGAAAGCATGTGACTGTTTAAGACCAGGTTATACTAAGTCAGAAAAGCACCGCTGCCTGTTGTAATGCACAGTTTACTGCAGTGTATAAAATAATAATACCTTATCGTATGCAAAGCACTCAAGTTGTGCTCCGTGCAGAGTATTGAGCTGCTTGGGCGCGTACGTCACTCTGAACAAGGTGGACTTAAGTGGAGCCAAGTCACAGGATGATGGAGCGATGGAGAATGGAGACTCTTGGGCGGCAGTCCACACGAGACTTGAAGGGAAATACATGAAATATAAGCATCAGCGGTCGGAAATTAAAGGTAGATTTCAGACAGAAAAACAAAAACATCAAAAGAAGCCACGCTGCAGGACACGAAGACGTACCTGAGTTTCCTCCTGGTGTGGTTTGTGATAGAGACCGACTGCGTAAAAGCAGATGAAGGAGATGAAGAGGATGTATGCTTGTGATTAAACAGCAGTTCAGTCGGGGCCACAGATACACGTAGCAATGACAATGAAGATTTCAAACAGAGAGGATCCGTGTGCCCCAAGCAGGCCCGGTAAAAGTCTTCCACGGCGGTGGCTGACATGAACTGCTGTAAATGACACAGACAACGAGTCAGAGAGGCAAGTCTAAGCCTTCGCTGATATTTAAATACAGAAATGAGAAAATGGAAGCATACCCCCTCCACAGGGGAGTGCAGCCCTTTCTGGTCAGACTCTATTTTATGACCTCCCCGCAGGGCTGCCGGGGCATGTGGTGAATTCTGTCTGCAGTCCTGCTGAAGCGTGTGCACAACCAAGTGTTCAGGTTTTAGTATGGCAGGTTTCTGGTGCCCTGAGTGGCAGGTACCAATCAGGTCAAGAAACACCGGCTCCTAAAAGAGACATTATGTAAGCACATAGGTAGAAATGCTTGTCTCCGTGCCGTGTTTAACATGTCCTACCCCGTCCAGTACGAGACATGCCACTCTCCTGTAGTGTGCATTAGGCTGTGTGGGCCTGTAGGCTGCCTTCACTCTGGTGTGGCTATGTGGGAGAACAGCGCCACTTGCTGGTAGGATACTAAACACACTGTTCCCACTACAGTCAATATCCCACTGGTAGAAAGCCTCAGCAGTGGAAGTATTAACGAGCTCCACCGTCCGTACAACTGATCCTCCTGCTTCAACACATTCAAAATCCACCACAGAGGAAGACAAGGCAACTTTGGGACCTGCAAAAGGAGATTATCTGGGTTATAAACTATCTTCCTTTTATTATTTGAAAATACAACTTTCTTGGGAGTGTACATGTGCTTTACTAAAGCTACAGAGAAACTGAGTTTTCCTTCATGTCTGGGCCTCTTACCAATACAACGCCCAGAGAGTTTGAGCAGACTTTCACTGAGCGTGCCTTTGCAGTTTAGAGACAAGTACTCCACTGAAACAGTATCTACCACAGCAGGGGAGTAAGTGACTGAAACCCGCCGTGATCCACCAGGAGCCACCCTACCACGGGTGGCATCACAGCTGAACTCTGATCCAAACGAGGGCACCCCACCAGGCAGCCGTGACAGAGAAAAAGACGCCGTTACCTGCAGGAAAGGATGCAAAGATGTGTGGGAGAAGGCTTCAAGTGTGAACCTTTGCACTTACGTGTCTATGTGCACCACCCACCGGAGACGGGTTAAAAATGTCAAAGTGTTTCTGCAAACTCTTGCCAACAGCAACAGGACCAAAGTCCACCAGTGGGCCACCATTATCTTCTCCCCCTTTGCTGCTGGGATTTTTCACCAGTAGATGTGGATATTTAGCTTAAAAAAGCAAGATAAAAAGTCGCAGGTAAAACAGATGCTTGAAAGACCGATGTGTCAGCTTTTGACTATTTGAAATAGATCTAAAAATACCTAGAGTGGAATTTTACAGGGAAAACAGTATTTAGGCTAACTTTGTATTCCTCCTTTTGTATTTTACGTTCATCGTGTGATGTTGCAAACGTTATCTTTATGGGAGTGGGCCAAGCCCATCATTTTATATTTTGGTCATGATGTACAAGTAAACGAGATAGTGAGGAGGCTGACAGTTATGACAGTTTCTCACGCTAACCCTTACCCACTGACACTGTGGTCAGATCTTTGGTTTGCTAGTTACAGTACCTAGTCCCTGTAGGAGGACAGTGCAGCTGCTCTCGAGCTTGCCCTCCTCTCCAAACCTGCAGAGAGCCTGCTGCTGGTACACCAGTGCCTCCTGTGGCCGGAAGACCACTGTGGTGTGACACTCCTGACCGGGTTTCAGCAGGCCCTGCTCTGGACGGAGCTGGAATGGTGCAGGACACTCCCACTGGAAGTAAGTATGGAGTTTACTACAGGATTAAATAAAAAAGAGGCGATTAAAGTAAAATAAAAGCAAGCGTTCTATTTTCTATTTCCTCCCAACATAGAAAACACACATACAGGTTAAATGAAATACACACAGAGACATAACGGTGTACCTGGCATTTTTTAATGGGAAATCAGTGTGTGTGGAGTGTTCAGCCGCACAGAGCGGGAGCATCACAGACTCAGGAACCTCCAGGGTGTGAGAGGGAACGACGGCACGGAGGCATACATGAAAGCTGCCTTCTTTCCCTTGAAATTCAATGCTGTCCTCATACTCACACTGTCTCAGACACACACAGCGGTACACAAGCAGAAGACTTCAAAGCACAAAGTGAGCTGCTGTATTTAAATAGTTTATCATCTACTCAGGATTTTATTGAAATAGTTAAGTTACTTTTATATTTATCTGCTCTCTATACATCAATTTGTATCATGTAAGGTTACTGACTACAGAGATACTGCTGCATAAGCATGAAAGCACTAGTACATTTCATATTTCAAAATCAGTGAAGATCAAGTAGTATTCTGTCTGATTTTGACATGTGTTACCCTTTGAAGAGGTTTAAAGGTGACTTGTATGGAGAAGGAAGTCCCGGGGCTGATGACAGCTATGTGAGGAGCCAAGGTGGAGAAAATCTTGGACACAGGAGGCCTGTGAAGGGAAGCGAGGGACGTGTTATCTGCAGGGATAAAACAAAGCTTAGCTTTGCACAGAGCAGATTAAACACCTTATGTGTAGCTTCTTTAGCTTGTTGTGGACGTTCTTTAGCACTAATGTCTTGGTAAATTCTCTGCCCAGGTCCCAGTCCTCCCAGGCCAGCTGTGGTCTCGTTTCCACTCCAAAGAAGCAGTTTCTTTGGCTTGGTGCTCGTCGCTGACACTTCCCAACCATCTGCCTGTGGGGAATCCCTGGATCCTGGCAGGTTTGGTGTTACAGGAGATGTGAGTTTTGGAAAAACACAAAAAACAAAACATTTATTCCAAATTCAAAACAATCTTTAACATTTATAGTGGACCTGAAACAGTCATACAGCAATGTCTCTTTGAGAAAAGGCAACTATATCTTCAAAATGATACATTTTTGTACAAACTTTACATTGACCAATAGGAATGGATGAAGTCATTCACTGAACATTTTTTGTACACAGTATATTTCAATTAAAGATTTGGCTTGATAAGAACAAATTATGATTAATGATGTTAGTTGTAAATGGATTAAATACAAATATAAAGATCCAGATAGATGGTGTTGATACAGAAAAAGACATTATAGATAGTTAGAAAGGACACGTTAAATATATTCATCCCTTTGTGTCAACAAGCAGCACTAAACAAAGCAGAGCAGGCCTTAGATTTCACATCACTCCATGTTCACCTTATTTAAGCTATTGTTCAAAGGTCTGGGACAATAACTACACAAGTACATTACACTCACTTTTTATTCTTCAAAAACAAAAAGCAGTTTGGATCTTTCACATTGCAGGCCATAAGGACCATTTCACTATTCGTACAGCTTGAAATACTGAAATTTACAGATCAGTGAAATTCAGCACAAATTCCCAGAGAAAAACAAAATTAGCAGCAACTTTTTGTTTGTTTGTTTTTTGAGAAAAGGAGGTCATAATTTAAGGGCTTTTGCAACTTTTGCAACAAACATAAATTTAAACAAAAAGAAGTATAAAGATATGATCTTCATCAGATAGGAGAGGAAGATGTTGGATTTTAGTCAGTGTTTCTGTTTTTTAGCTGCTACTTGCTTTGCTGCGTGGAGCACAATTATGGAGTTGTGAAAACAAGATAATACGGGAATCATTTGTATTTTATGTAGCACATATTATGTGTAGTTAGAAATGTGTTCACTGCTGTTATTGCGGTTTAAATCAACAGGGAAGCTGGATAAATAAACACTGATAACTTTGTGACATTGTAGTGTTTTTTTTACTGGATTATTTTCTGTATACTGTTTACATCATTGACATAAAGTAAACAAAACTAAACAAACACAGTTTCGTAAATGTGAGCACAGCACAGGGTTATTCTCACAGATCTCAAACAGGAAAAAAACAATGATGCCAAACTTTACTTTGATATCGTTGCCAGTGACGGAGGCCTCCCGTGGAGCGGCAGACACCAGCGGGTCAGGACCCCGAGTCTCCGCTAACATGGCTGTAAAGGAAGAAGACGCTTAGTCCTCGACACAGAAGGAAACACGGGGAATGGTAACGTAGCTCTTTCCCGTTTAAGACACATTTTGCGGTCAGGAACACGAACTGGTTGGTGGCTAAAAAACAACCTCACCTTACCGACACGCGGAGCAAACTCTTCAACTACTTTTATTTGCCTCAAAAATGAAGACGAAGAAGAAAGAACACACCGCGAACACCGGGAACAGACATGGGTCAGCGTTGTTGCGTTGTCGTTTCCATAGCAACAAGCCTCCAGAAGAAATTACGGCGACTGATAAGGGTCATTTGCAAACTGTTACGTGAGGACGTAACCAGAGTAGTGACGCTGTGACGTAGTTTTACGGTATGTAAATACGCGGATGCAGAGATATGTTAGAGAGAGGTTATAGCAGGTAATCATCCTTTAAATGGTTCAGCCACACTGTGTCTACTTTATTAAATTATAGAACTTTAATTATAATTCATAATCCAAAGTTTCTCATTTTTTTCAACAAACTTGAAAACACATGAATTTAAGGTAATTTCGAAAATTTTATTAACAAGCAAACAAAAACTCTGACACTGCATTGCAAAAAAAAGAAATATATTAAATTCTATAACTGTTAAATTATATATTTTTACAGAGTACAAGGGGAATGAGAAGGCAAACTTGAAAAGCAAGGCATGCAGATATTTCACTGAGTCCATGGCTTTAACTAAATACAAGCATTTCCAAGAAACGAAAACAAAGGGAAAGCATTCAATATCATAAAACAAACTAAATTCCTAAAAAAAAAAAAAAAAAAGTAGCAACACAACAGTGTGCCTGTTATGTGTTTATAATGCCCTGAAACGTCAGCTGAGTTCACGTAAATCACGTATTGTAACGGACCAGGAAACCTGGATAATATTACCATCCACACTGACACCATTAGTTTTATTTTATGTCTGTCTCATTGTCTACTACCTTCTATGAAAGTGCCATTATCACTCGTTCATGTAGTTTAATTGCATGCGCGTACAAAGATAAATGTGTTTATTGCAGGTGGCAGGACAGGGAAGTGGGCTTTAAGTCATAAAGATAAATTCAAAAAGTCTGAATTATTTGTTGATTTTAAAGTCATAACTCATGGATGGATAGCTGGCTATTAAAGCATTAAATGTTCAGGTACATAACAATTGAACAGTTCTGATTTCATGTAATATTAATAACAGACTGAGATGTTTGGAGTTGGTTTAGCACTATGATCCAGGCTGTTAAAAAACAAACTAACCAAGCAAAACTTTTAACAAAACGTTGTTTTCATTCCACCGTCTTCGTGCACAGGATTGCAATGGCATTACTATTTTAATAATAATGAGCATAAGAAGACATATAATAAAAACATGGATGAGTTTATGATGGGAAAGCCCCAGTTTTTGTTCCTGGGCCTCCCTCCTCAGTCTCCTCCTCTGAGTAAGAGTTGTAGTTTCCCATTTCTCCTCCTGAATGCCTCGTGAACCCAACAGAGCCAAAGGAACTTTCTCTCAGCTCTTTTATCTGCTCTTTCTCATCCTCGTGTTCCCCTGCTATCTCCTCCTCATCCTCTAGGCTCAAGGTGCGAGAGCCACCGTGACGTTTGATACTCTTCAAATCCATCCTGCTTCTTTCTCTGTCCGCGAGGCTGCTTGGAGTTACTTGTTCCCTAGTTTTGCGACTTCTCTTCCACTTCATCCGCCTGTTCTGGAACCAGATCTTAACCTGGAAATGGTAGGAATCATCACAGTTTGGACTATTTAGTAATGTAGCTGGCTGAACTGAGAATAAATGAAGTTGGTATATGAAATGCTGACAAGAATGTAGTAAAAATGAAACACCAGGGAGCTGTTAATGTTACACACAAAAAATAGCCATTGTTGGCTTATATGGTCATTCACTAACTTTGTCAGCATCTAACCTGAGTCTCTGTTAGCATGAGCGAGGTGGCCACTTCAAACCGTTTAGGCCTGGATAGGTACTTGTTGAGCTTGAACTGGTTTTCCAGTTCCAGCAGCTGCTGACTGGTGAAAGCTGTTCTGGGCCTCCGACACTTCCCCAACAAACCTGTCTGAGATGGTGCTGAGGAGAAACCAGACAAATTATTTATGACAAATCAATGATATTAATTTGTCTCTGCAAGTGGAAATATTTCACTTATGACTGGTAGGCCTGTAAGGAAGCAAATCATATGGCGGCCTACACAAAGGTAATCTATAAATGGGATTAAGGAGGAAAGGAAATATTACAAAATCCCAAATCCTGGTTTCTCATTGCTGCCACGGCCGACCTCTGTCACAGTGTTTCTGTCAGTTAACAGTTATTGCTTTGATGGAGGGTCATGATAACAGGATTGCTGCAGAGGAGTAATAAACCATTACAGGGGTCCATTACCTTAATGAAAACACTATAAGTGTGATCAGTTGACTGAGGTCTGTATCAGGTGTTACCTTTACCATAAACAGTGCATGTTATTTGTATGACATAAATCGTCCTCAAACTACAGCTTCTCAATGTCAAAGCACTTTCAATACGAACACACAGGTAATAGTGATCTTTACAATAAACGACCTCAGAGAAAAACACATGCAGCTGTGCACCAAACAATCAATAACTAAAGAAACAATGCAGAATCAATTTATGAAGTGCTTTATTGTTCTACATAAATTAACACACTGGCCAAATACGTGATCAACAAAGAAACACTGCAACTATTAAATTATTATGTAAATGTTAATACCAAGCAGAAGAATGTTATAACAAGTTTTATTAAATATTCAAAAACTTTGATCCAAAAATTAAGATGTTGAAAAATTCTTACCATGTACGAAAATAACAATGATAAAGTTTATAGGCGAGAAAAATGCACATCTGTGGAAACAAACACGCAAACTCACCGTTATACTCTCTGAGTCTGGGCATCATCATCCCGGCTCTGATCCAAGGCTCCAGTGGGAGCGTCCCGGTGACCCCCTTCAGCTGCTCCGGATACGGATGGACCAGCTGCGTGAAGCCGGGGTACATGAAGGCGGTGTGCTGGCCTCCGAGGGCCGCCACGGGATACACAGAGCTCGGGTGCATTCCGATGAGACCCACCTGATGCAGGGCAGGGAATCCCGACTGGGACAGGTTGAAGAGATGAGACTTGGAGAGGATTTCAGACTGCGCCGGAGACGAGTTTGAGGAGTTTGGATGAGGGGAGGAGGGCGTCTCTGAGCCGCCGGTCGACAGCGGGCTGTCTCCGGGGCTCCTGCTGTGATACAGCCCGGGGGACGCACTGTCCGTGTCCGTCCTCTGGTCCACGTCGTGCGCCAGCAGCGCATCAATTCGAAAGTTTTTGGATTTCTCCATGTTGGCTGTCATTCTGACTCGAGATGTGTCCTCTGAACAGTTGATGTTTCGTGTGAAGCGTTTTTGTTGTTTTTAAAACCCGAACCTAAACTTCAATAATGAAATAAACTCTTCTGATGAACTTTCGATGTTTCTCTAAGGTCTTGATACACGGGTTAAGCTTGTCATTCCCACTCACGGAAGAAATGCCTTTTTTCTGACCCACTGCACGAACTCTGCGTGTAAAAAACACTTCACCGCTCCGACAGTGAGCGCAAAAATTACTCGAACCCAAGCACAAAGTCTGCTTTGTTGTGATTGGCCAGAGCTCTGCAGAAGCACAGGGGCAGGATACTCACAAACTCTTCTGGTGTTAATTGATCTCGTCCTTCTTATGCATACAACTAGGTCACAGAAATGGCTTCCTGTAAGCCCCTGTTAGAACCATTTACGCGTCAATAAATCTCAAAGAAAGCAGAAAAGATTAACCTGTGTAGGAGAACTTTGTAAAAAGGAAAGAAAGATTAATAATGTGAACTTCTTCTTCCTTAAATGTCTGCGTCCTCTATCTTTAACCCTGTTTCAGGTGAAGTCGAGGTGTAGTTTTCTCACACAACCTCTTACACGCTCATTATATTACACATCCAACATGTGTGAGGTGCAAACACTCTTGACGACTATATTGCCTTAATTGCTGTAATCTTACTTAGAGTTATGACAAAAATTAATCATTTTACAGCTAACTCTTGATTAAACTTTATAGCCTGCTAAGGTTGACAGAAACCCAACTGTTCTTATCAGCAGCCGCTTCCATGATTATCGTCATCACCACACTACAGAGCACATAAAAGGGCAGTAAACTGAGAGAAAGCAAACTTTTCTTTGTTTTCCCCTCCTGTAGATTAGAACCACACCGGCAAAGTAGACACAGGTGACAAAAAACACGTAGTAGTTGGCATTTATTCATCAATTATACACACGGTGCATGCAACCAAGATTTGGAAAGGGAAGACAGAGATGTGCAGACAAGCAGCTGTATCTGTTCTTCTTCGTCTATTGCATGCAGTAGTATATTTTATGTATTAATGTGCACAAAAGAGGACGGCATGTAAGTAGTTATAGTTTTCCAGGAGATCTTCCCTTCAACCTAAACTGATTCCTACGTGTCCCAGACAAACAGACAGACAATATCTAGAGGCTGAAACTGAGCAATTAAGCGTCGCTTAAAGGGTTCAGCCTTCATCTATATAGACTATTTTCCACAGTCACCAGGTGTGATTTCCTGCTGGACTTTACAGGATTGATAAGAGACAGTCATTGACCTGGGAAAACAAACTGTTCTCATGTCCAAGACAAATACACCAACACCTGCTGAACTGAGCACACAGCATTTAAGAGAAACAGCCTACGTGTTTAAAGTAAAAGTTGCATGTGTGTGCTGGAACGTTACATATACATATATATATTTGAGTAAATTATCAGCCGCCTCCTTTGACTGGAAGAGCTGTGCGTATAGCAGGAGTTGATGTTGTGTAATTACTATAACTTACATCACTGATCAAATATTAAAGCATGGGCACAGCAAGGTGTCTTATCCATGGCTAATGCACCCATCAGCGTGCTGCACAAAACTGTGCATGAACGGGAAGAGTCCACAAAGCAGCGTACATGTTCATCATATATTCTATAACATTTATTATGTATCCTGTTTTAACAAGAGCAAGCAATTTGATTGCAAATTCTTGGGTATTTGTTATAAAGTAAGTGCTTTATGTTACAGCATGGGCGACTCGTTCTCGGTGTCTTTGATGGTCAGATACATCACTGTGATGTTGGACAGATCCAAGGCTGTAAAAACCGACTGTAAAATAATTACCACCCTGTGATCTCTTCTCCGTGCATTAGATAAGGCAGAGAGAGGATATAGCTCACCATTAAATACAGTCTGTCTAACATTTCTTGATGGCCAAGCATAAATATCATAACCTTTGAGATAAGGTTCTGTAGGCTGATGACATTGATATTTAAAATTTAACACCAAATAGAAACAGCGTGTTTGGTAATATATTAGAATTGTGATTTATGGTCATTAGACTGCCATTTTAATCATCCTTAAAAAAGTCTTTGTTTTCATATAACATCTGTGCATAGATGGTTTCTGTTCATTGCACAGCAGAGATGGCCTGTTATAAGATATCGTTCTACATTTGCTTTTGTTAAACGGAGTCATTATTCATCAACCACATTCACTCATCTTCAGCTATAACAGCGGAAATCAGGAGTGAGGGTTTTAAGTGGGCTGCAAACTTTTTGTCGTTGTTCAGTTTTCAGATACGTGTTGTTAGAAGACATGACTGAAATTTAAGAGTTAACACAGGACGTCGGTTCAGGGGGGAGAAGAGTTTTTAAGGTGAAAGGCTGTGATGTAGGCTTTTGGGTTGTCTTCATTACATTTAAGGAGGAATGTGTTCTCTCCTGGCAAAAAAGTTGTCCTTCTTGGTCCAATTTAACACAAAAGAAACTGAAGGAAAGAAGCAGAGCAGATGTTTATTCTTTCAGAAGGATGGCTGCTCTTCCATTCATGTTAAAATCCTTGATTTAAATTAAATGATTTACAATTTAATGCATTTTATTTAACCTCCCTTTCTCATTGTCTTTCTATCATGCACACACACACACACACACAAACACACACTGGTCTGACAAGAGCAACAATGCAGATCACAGAGTTATAATGGATAAGAGCAAGCCACAGAATAGAAAAACAAGCCAGCCCATCGCTCCCCTCTACCCTCAGCTGTAAAAGAAGCGTTTATGTCGCCTCTTTTCATACACAAATGTAAAGAAGGTGGGCGATTCTGTCAGACCTCTATAGTTAAATGGCAAAAAGGTTACCCCATTCTTGAAGTGCAGAGGCAGAGCCGATTTTATTTCACTTATTTTATGCCAAGAACCTGTTTAAACGGGGTCTAGTGCAGCAGTGAACCTCTAATAGAATTTGTGCAATTTAAAAAAATAATAATTTCCACCCACATTTGGCTACAATGTGGGTGGAAATTATGCACATCATCTCGTGACTCTCATGACTTTGCAAAGGACAGACTCTGTGCAGGCTTCTGTGGGTATTTTCCAATAGTTGACACTAATGATTGCTGCAAGGTAGCGCCTGAGAGTTCAGCAGCATGTTCCCATCATCAACACCACGCAACCAAGGAAAGATGCGGGCGTCAGACAGGGATTAACACGCCACGCATTTTAGTAAAGTAAGACATGACAGTGTATCCCAGGAGACTTTGGGTTGAGAAGAAAATTCCCCCAAATTCCCAACAGATAGAATATAATAAAGCCTGTTGTTCCCCAGCTGTCTGCGTCCTATTGTGGAATCTAGTCCAAAATCTGCTTTTGGATTCTATTGTATCTTTTGTCGTACCCTCGTTTTGCTCCGATTGGCCTAATGGACCGCAGGGGAATGGAACACTTCCTAGTTGAGCAGCGGTGGGTGTTCGGGGTTGCAAGGTTCAACATTGTTCAAAATGAGTTGATTAATGACAGCCTTCAAAACTCAGACCGGGAGATAATGAGGAGGACAAGAGGGAGGGATGGAGGAGGAGGAGGAGGAGAGGAAAAGGAGGCGAGGCGGAGAGCTGAGATTGGATGATTATTACTTAGCACAGTTAAGGGTGAGATGACAGTACAATGACAATGAGGCTTCAGGGTAGAAGTGGAGGGAGAGAGGAGGCACATAGCTAATTACTCCTAAACAGAGGTCTGTGAATGATAGGAGGAGACAGACACACGTAGAGCTGGTTAGCACACAAAGACAGGGGCAGTGACTGGGCCGCAAAGGAGTGGCTGGAGAGAGTAGTTAAACATCTGTTGCTCTGTGGGACACCCAGTCTGCTCCTCAGAGCGAGGATCTCAAAGCGCTCATCGCACACATGTTCCTCAGCACGACAATGTGAAGCCTGTGCTAACCACTCTTATACAAAACTGCTATTTTTGCACCAGTGCTGTCAATATTTGTTCACATAAAGCATTAAGGGAACACCAGAATCATTATAAATCATGCTTTAGGGAACATGAACTTCCAGTTCCTGAGATATTTTAGCCATAAACATAGTGACAGATCAACACAGACATAAAAGTAAACTTTTATCGAATCAAAATAGCAATCTCCTCTTTTATATGTTTGCTTGAATATGACATGAACAAACATCTGCTCTTCTTGTCCGCTCTTACCTGCATTTTTCTATAACTAATAATCGTTCTTTCCACAGCTGAGACAGTTCAATTAGCCTTGTGATCCACAGACACTCCCACCAATCCATGTTTGTGGCATTTAATCAGTGGCATGCGTGTGTGTGTGTGTGTTAGGGTGAGTGGTAGGTTAAGAAGGAAACACATAATTCTTTGTAGTAACCTTGTGTGACACTGTCACATCAGCTTTATTTTGTTCCCCTTCTCCTCTGGTTGCTTTAGTACCTGACACGCTGAGATGAAACATGCCTTTATTGTTGAGTGAGGCAGATTAAATAAAAAAGGCCAGAGGGAGAAGCTTGTAACTCTGGGAATGAGTTTAGGTTGCAGATTTAGAATATTGCATCGCTGGCTGCTGTGGGGGTGTTGCATTCTTATCAAAGCGCATCCTGAAGTGACCTACATGATGATATATGGGCTGAAAACAATCTGAATAAATGAAGAAACGCTGGAATCTCAGCCTGTTTCATACTGAAGACACGGAGCAGCCTTCATGTTTTTCTATCGCTTTTATTTTGCAAATATTCTGCACACATCCTCCTCTTAATTTAAACCATGGGCTTTAAATGTCTAAATATAAACTCCATAGGGAAATATGAATTTCAGTGTAAAATGATTATTTCATTTATTAATGAGGGAAAAAACAGTTGTCCAAACCTACCTGACCCTGCGTGGAAAAAGTAACTGTCCCATAGACCTAAAAACTGTTACTACTACTCTTAACTAATTTAAGATCCTGCCAATCTGATTTAAGCCACTCCACAGCAATCGCAGACCATCACTCTACCGAGTATTTTCAATCATGCAGTTCTTTAGATGTTGTTTTGGGGTCTTCTGGATGAGTCACTGATGCACTTTTGGAGTAATTGGGATTGTCTGGCCACGCAGGGAAGTGTCACCATCGTTTAAAGTTTCCTCCATGTGTGGATAACGGCTCTCACCGTGGTTCACTGCAGTCCCAAAACCTTAGAAAAGGATTCTTAGCCTTTCCAGACTGATACATGTCAGCAACATGCCTCCAAATTAATTTCCGTCACTACATGCCAGATACATGAGTGCTCTGAGTTTAAACAGCATTAAACAGTATTTTTATAAGCAACTCTTGAGAACATAGCAGGTTAATTGCATGCACGCTTACGATACACATATTAATCTAGTAGCAGGTCTGAGCGAAGGCCTAAGTGTCTTCGG